AGAGAATTGATTTATTCTTCTGTAATTTCTCTGAAGGGTTCACTGCTGATGAACATGAACAGTATCATGTGGGTAAACCTACTTCTGGTAGAATTCCTGGCATCTCTCACCTGGTCTCTAGGCCTGTTTTCCAGCCATTAAGTCAAAAACTCAGCGACTTCCCTGGCAGTTTGAGGGGTCTGCAAATCAAAGAGTGTGCACTTCAACAGGAAGAGTCCAGATCTGTGAATTCTAAACATCCTAAAGATGGACACTTAGCAGAGTCACGGTAGCAATGAGGACAGGGAGAAAGATGAACAGAGGGAGGAATGCAAAGGCGTGCTGAATGGACAGACGATGTGAAACTGCCCAGCAATGGATCAGAAGTTCTGCAAAACTAAAAACCATAATATCTTGAGTAAGAGAGTAGATAAGATTCGCAAGACACAGAGTAGGGAATTCCCCCAAAGCAAAAAGCCCAATAGCCTGAAGAAGCTACCTTTACTTCTCCTGGGGGCAAAAATGGTGCCAGAGGGTTGGTGAAGGAGGAGAGTTAAAGTTCAGATACCATCCAGAGCAGTGCTTTGCATGTTTGTATTTAAGCTTGGTTCTGCTACCTGCCTGCAGGGAAGGCTGGGAAGAGGAAGCAGCCATGCAGAACCACTAAGGTTACATGTCAGAAAGAGGAAGAAAAATACACATAGAGCTATTTTTAATTTTAAAGATGCATACAGTGCTAGTTCCTGTACCCTTCTCTTTTCTTAAAGAAAAAAGAAAAAGCTGGTTTGTGAGACAAGAATTTCAGTTTGAAAATACTGCCTTGTCAAGACAGGAAATGTAAGGACAAGACTATGCAGACCTATGAACAAGGTCAAGAGCCAAAGCAAACCAGACCAAGAAGTATACAGCAATGGATCACAAAGATCACAATAAAACCTTGCAGAAAACCACTTGGAGACAGCAAAAGCTTTAGCTCCTCTTGGTCACAAAGAGTGCTAGCAGGAGAATCAGGTTAGTACTTTACACAACAGAACAGGGAGAGAGACCAAAAAAGACAGTGCAGGGACATTCGCTCAGATTATTCCAGTTTCAAAGTGACAGTTCCTACATTGCAGCAATTTAGTAACTTCCACTGGATCTAATTTGATTACTTTGACCATCTTCACTGTCCCTAGTAAACCAAATCTCTTATCCATGAAGGCCTTCTTTTTCCCCACGAAGGGTTTTGTTTTGATGGGGTTTTTCTCCTCCAAATAAAGCCACTCCTAAAGAGAAACCCAAGGCAAAGTACATTTCAAATGTAATTTCCTATGGCATCGTAACAGACAATAATTGAAGTCCAGGCAGGGATTTTATCCCAAGAAACCTGACCTGTTTCTTTCTGGTACATAAATAAGGTGCCTGTGATCTGAAAGGGCTCAAAACCAGCCTTTTAATGAGTTCTGAAAGTTAGCATACTGTCACACAAGAAAATATTAATTGGATGTGCTAGTGGGAATACTGCTAACCTACAGTACTATGCGCTAGGTCTTTCATCTGGAGATCCATGTGCCTTCTAGAATAGGAAGTCTGAATTCCTCCTACATTTGGAGAAGCTACCTGATGTAATGCTGTCAGCTAGCTCTATTTACCTAAAAAACAGTTGTGGAGAAAGGAGGGGATAAACCTATACTAATAGTCCAAACAACCTCGGCTCCAATTTTCCACCAAGGTTCAAAAGACGCCCAAAGCACAAACATTAACAGATTCACCCCAAATCATTTACCAGCAGAACCGGACAAAGAAGCTACTTACAGCAACTTCCCTATTTACATACGCAGATTCTCATGTCAGGTCAGAACCACAATGCTGTTGTATTGCTATTTCATTTCAGGAGTCCAGGTCAGTCATTTTGGGAAATGTATCGGACTTGATCTGTCTTAACTCTCTACTCCTTTGCCATGCTGGAAGCAGCACAGTCCTGGCTAGAACCAGTCTCTTCTCTTCGTTGTGGCTGGAATGAATTTTGCTTTAAATTTCCAGGGGACTCAAGTCAGGTCTGCTAGATTAGGCTTGAATTACTCTCTATTTCTGTCTGGAATAGCCAGGTATGAGTTACTTAGGAGGAAACTTCATTACATCCTGAACAAACCAAGTTCCCAAGACACATCTCCCAGTTCCCAGCTGTAACTGGGCTTTCTCACAGGGTACACACCAGGACAGGTCAACTGGGGTGCAGGGGAACTGCCCCCCACTTCCCCCCTGCGCCACCCAATAAAGTATGAATAGAAACTCAAAGGGGAGGTAGCAGCTTGGCCTCACAGCCTCCTGTTCAGATCGCAGCTGGATCCAGCTTGCTGGCTGATGAGATTAAACTCTTCCACATGGTGAGTTTCTCCTTGAGCCCAGGATCTACACAGCCCAGTCTCAAATTTCCTCCCAGTCCAGAAGGTGAACATGGCCAGGATTAAAAATAAAAATAAAAAATAATAAAAAAAAACCACACACACACACACAAAAAAAAAAAAAAAAAACAACAACAAAAAAAAAAAAAAAACAGAAGACTAAAACCTGAGGGGAGCGATTCTACCACACAAATACTTCCTTTCTGAGCTTAGCTAAGAGTTTTGGAACAGCAGTTTGCCAAGAGAGGGTGGAGAAGCCAAGGTAAGCAAAGGATTTATAACACTACAAAGTCTTCGTTGTTCTTAGTTACTGCTCACCTACAAAGCACAGGTAAATACATTGCAGGAAAACTCGTTAGGGTGGTAAATCATTGATGAGGGACATTTGCTGATGGACTTACTATGGATCAAATAACATTTACATCTTAAATTTAAAATTATTTCTCCAGGAAAGAGTTCAAAGACTGTTTACCTAGCATATAACACTACTTCTGCTAGAAGAGAAAAAATTAACTCTGGCTTCTCTGACAAGACCAAAAAAGCCCCACAGGTCCTGTCCTCAACTATAGCAAAATATATCACAATTTCATGGAAGTAGAATAAATCCAGCTTCACAGCAGCACATAAGAAGAAAGGACCATGTCTTTTTATATTCCAGTTTCTAATTTCTGCAGCAGTGTTGTAATGTAAATCCAAACCATAAATATCCACATTTTCCCATGATCTCTCCTCCCTTGGTATCGCTTGTGAGTATATTCATTATCTGGCCCTCTTCTAAAAAGCTGTTAGCCCAAGATCTACATGTAGGACTGTGGTAATTCATCCTTCCTTCCTTCTAACATTGCAGTATAGCTCAGCCTGTGGATTCTGAAGAGCTTGGTGCTTCAGGCAAGTTGCTTTTTAAAACACTGTTTCTAACACCTGCCAAAAAGCGACTCCCTCAACATCCAGCAGGACAAGAGGCCTTCGACCTATACAGCGTGTTGACTTCCTTGTTGACCACAACCCAGTTATCAGCTCCCCTGGCACCATTTACAAAGGCCAACCTCTCAGACCTACACACAATGGCTCTCCAGTACAATTTAATAAGAACTGGGTACTTGGAAACCACCAGCTTTTTTAATGCCACATTTGTCATTTAATCTATGTTTGGCTTGGCAAATTTGCTCCAAGGAACAGGCTTACTATCAGCTTTTCTCCCAGTAAGAATACCACAGGTGTACACTTGGTATGGTTTTGGAACTACAAAATACAGAGTTGTTTGCTTTGTTGCTCAAAGGTGTAGGAGTGATGGGCTGCAGCAGAATTCTCAGAGAGCACAGTGCATATTTTATGCTATATTGGGCTTTGATTTGTCAGAACTTACACTGGTTGACAGATGGGCAAGGGGGAGATTGGCGATGGATGCCCATTGCTTTTGGTAGATATAAGTGGGTTTTCCAGGTCTCTTTTCCAGGATATAATACTGCTGGTCAATAAAGGTAACTAGGATAACCAAGTTTCCTCTGCCTCAGTTCTTCCAATGACTGGACTGGATACCTGACTTACTTTAAGACAATATTTCATCCTGCTTAATTTATGAAGGCATCCTGTCTATCTGCTACTCACTCAGGGTTATCTGTTTCTTTCCTTGGAAATGCTAGCAGGGATAACTGGTCCCTTCATCTGATTTTCATTTTCCCAGACTTCTTGCAAGGCTGAATTCTCTAAGGTCAAGAGAAAGAAGAGATTTCTCACTGGAGTAACTGTTATTTCTGATGCTACCTTACAAAAATGCTGTTTCCCAACAAATTTTAGAACTCCCCAAATGCAAAGCAGACACCACTTTTGTACTTCCTTAGTATCAGCACAATCTCATTTTGCAGCTCCATTGCTTCATGCCTTTTGCAACCGCAGTCAGCAATGCAGAGAGTCAGTAACATGATCTACAGTGACCGTTCCTGTATTGTCAAAGTATTAGATGTCTTAGTACTTCTTAAAATGTCACATAAAAGAGATGCTACCTCCTGGATTCCAAGTATGCATTAAAATATATCAGAAGAACTGAAACACATAGAACAGGCATTATACCAAATGGATTTGAAGCAGAGGAATACAGTGCACCCATAACCCCAGATTTCCTACTGAATTTAACAGAAATGAGCTGCTGCTTTTACTTCCAAAGTCAGGAATAGGAATTCGAATTGCTGGGTGACTGACATCTTCCCCTGAGCATTGGTTTCTTGTAGAAAATGTGGATACTACTTTCCCATGACATGAACAGCTAAATACTTCCAGGATTGTCATGTAGTTCTCCCATAAACAGACACAGGTGTATCTCACTGTATCATCACTAGCATATAGGGAATCTTCCTGGAGATTCCCAACAGCCCTTTTCTTACTTGGGGGTCACTGTAAAAAAAAAAAAAAAAAACAAACATTTTTGGAGATCTTTTTGTTTAATTTGAAATATTTTCAACAACAAGAAGAGTTGTAACTTCAAAATTGTTTGTGAGTTCATCCGAGAACAATGTACCACTGGATATTGTATACAGAAAAGTTATCTACTCACCAATTAGGTTTTGCAGCCTTTTTTTTTTTTTTTTTTTTTTTAAGAGGAACCCTGACAAAGAAAGGTTCATCTACAGCTTTTACAAGATTGTCTAAATTTTTATATGCAGTTTTAATATGTTTCTCTTTGTGCTGCTTGTATACAAGTATGTAGCACAGCAAATCAGCAGGATTGCTGATTCAACAGGTGTGTGAAAGATGGGACAGGGTCCATCCGATGGAGATACGGACTCATATGAGGACTTATAAAGTTATTTGTAGAAGCTGGTCAGGTAAAAGCTGAGATAAAAGTAGTAAGGACTTGTTAATTGAATACTTCAACAATTCCAGACATAAAACTACTGAGTTAAAGTTGAACCAATCTGCAGCTGCAGCTTGTCCTCCTGACAATTTCTGTGATTCACCATACCAGCCCAGTATCTGCAAGGAGCAAGGCTTCATTTGGTAAAGTTATTAAGCATGTGCCTGGTTTCAAACTGATTCACTGATGAACTAGCTCAGTGAAACTACTCTTTTCTCACAGAAATGAGGCATTTATTATTTCAGGCTTCAGGAAACAACCCAACAAATTAAGTGCTTCTTCAAGGAATAAACGAACAAGCATAAGATGGCCTCCAAAACTCAGTACCAAACAACTCCTTCAATTTGTCATTATTAGAGTTTCCCAGTTTCTTTGGAAGGGGAAGCCACAGTTTTACTCTTGTTGCCTTGTGGCAAATGACACCTTTTACCCGTGATAGAAACACAATACACCCATGGATAGATGCTGGGGACCCAAAGAAACTATGAGTATTAATTTAATTCAGGGCAAGGTTTCACCTTTTGCAGATGGAACTTTTGAAAGCAAGATTGCTTGTTTGCCATATTTTCTGGATTTCACTCTGGTAGGTAACACTTTTGCATCTTCCCATGTCCCAGTTTATCTACAGAGAGAAGAGAAAAAGTAGCCGGTAAGAGAAGATCAAATATAATTCTTGTACTTCCGTGGTATACACCATGTCATCTGTGGCTCCGGTACTTCACGCACAATGGAAAGATATAAACAAGCTTTTTCTTCTTTAGGCAGTTTTAGTTTTTTAGTTCTGGAAATGAAGATTTCCCATTTTGACTATAAATTAAAAACCTTCTTCTTTAGTTCAGGCTTTTATTCCTCCCCTAGGAGCACAACTGATTTGATATTCTCTCCTCTCATGTTTAAGAACAAGATTATAGAAACTTCTACTTCAGGCTACCTACCCAGGAACTTTGGAGTGACAATGTTGTGGTCTTTCCACAGTCATGTAAAAACAGCTTCTTGGGAACCTTCATGTCCTGTGAGGGATAAAAGCACTGTATTAAACCCAGAAACATTTGAAAGAACATTTCCTGGAGGTAGAACTGGGACTATCAGGAAATCTCTGTCCTATGTGGAGGCAATCCTGACTTCCACTAGACCATTTGCAAAAGCAGCCTTAATTTCAGTGTCCAATTCCTGGTATCTTAGTTCTATCTTCAGTAAGTGTTCAACATCATTAGGTCCTATTTTCTCTGAGTGGAGCTAAGGATGCTCAGAGGCTCAAGCTAGGAATCTAGAACAAAAATCCTCTCTGACTTTCAACCTTCACCTGTGTGAGGATATTTCTTTAGCTACAAAGGAAAATGAAAACATCTCCAATATAGAGAGATATGTGACTAAGTAGTACACAAAACTCTGTCACTCAGGAGCTGCAATGCATAGCAGTCCTGGTTCTGGAGCAAATTCTTCACCTGGCCAGTCTCATCTGACAATTCAATTTCACCTGCAACACACAGAAGTCTCAGTCAGGGTTCAAGGGCAGGAAGCTAATAAGAGTTATGGCAATTAAGTTCAAGACATGTGTCAGTTATGTAAAGGTAACCCACATCTAAAAAACAGCTCAAAGTCTGGGTGCATTTTAGTCGAGTACTATGATTCAGGACCGTCTCAAAATAATTATCTCTCTCTCATCCTAGTGGTGAGCCAGCCAAGTCACATTGATGTGTATGCTTTTTCTCAAGGCAAAAACTAGGTTGGGTCATATAACTCAGCACAAACCTCTTTTGCTGTGGGATAAGCTGGCTTGTAATACACTGCACTTGCTGTGGTCTAGGAGAATTCAATAGGTAGCCATTACAGCTATATTCATCAGTGGCAATTTGGTAGGCTCAGTTAACACGCCTGTATTCAAGGACTGAGTGTGACAACCTGCAAAGAATCCACCAGCAGACGTGGGCTGTTAGGACATTTCATCACGTTGATATAGTAATGAAATCCTTATTGGGCATTTTCTTCAAATGGACATTTTCGTCAGACATTTTAATTGGACCTTTTTTCCTAACCCCATTTAAAAGCACGCTAGCTGTGTACATATAAGAGGCAAGGATTAACCAGATAATGAGCACAGCCAGGGGTGGCCTCAGTAACTGCAACAAGCATCGTCAGGAACATTATCTGGCTTTGTGAATGCACCGGGAGGCTTGATGACAGTTTCACACTGGAAGACAGAATCAGCAGAAACCATCCAGCTCACTTCAGGACTCAAGAGCCACACGCAGCCATAGACCAAAGAGTTTCCTTTTCAGGGAACTCAACCATACCTTCCTTCTCACAGCCACAGCAGTGTTTGATGTTCTCCAAGAGAAACTGAACTTTACACTGAACGTTGAAAAGAACCTTTCAATTTTCTGTTGAGAGGCAAAAGTCAAAGCAACTGAAGAAAAACCAACAGCCCTGTGATCCTTCTCCAAATTCCAAATTAAATGACCTTGCACTCAATCACTCTTATCAGCAGTCTCAGGGAAATGGCACCCTTCTGAATGTGAGGGGACTTCACAGCTACTCCAGACAGCGCTGGACTTCCAGAAGATTCCACAGGCCACTAGAAAAAGAGCTATCAACAGTAAATACTTCAAAAGGAGAAAAAACCCAGTGATTGCACCACTCCTCTTTTTATTTGTTCTTTCCTTTCCAAAAAAGCTATTAACAGGGCATGAAAAGAAATACTGTGTGAAACTGGTCTTTTCATTGATATTATTTTGTTTTGCAGGAAAAGCCAACCCAAAACATTTTGAAACTCAAAAATGTTTACTTATAGCTGAAGTGTACTTGTTTAGAAAACCACAGTGGGGAAAAAAATAAAACTTCTAGCAAAACTCCATACACATATATTTGTTTTGGTCCAAAAGAAAAAAATGTTTTCATTGGAAAGACGTTACAATGAAAAATTTGACAAATCTTATTTACTACTGCTTTCCACCCTGCATTTTACAAATGTAACCTGGGACCACAAGTCACAGAGATAAATTTATCACCTGTCTGGGTACCATGTTTCCCTGCGGATATTACAAAGACAGCAATCACTGAAGATGCTTACATCCATGTAGCACTGTTATAAACATGTCTGCTGTTAACCACAAAAGGAAGCAACGAGGACAGCAATGACAGTTTTTTCACTTCTATATTCTACAACAGGCAATCATAGAGAGTGACCTACAGGTGTTTTGTAGTGTTTGCCTGCGGGTTCCCATTTTTTGGAAGTCCCTTCAAAGTGTCAGTAGGTACCCAAATTCTCCCAAGGTGAAGTTGCAAAGGAACCATGTTTTGGTTTTAGGAGCAAGCTCAGAAAATGTGGAACCACCAAAAGGAGCAGATGAGGGCAAAACACCTTGCAGTTCATCTGGATCCACCAGAGGTACCAGGTAGTAAAAGCAAACCCAAGAGCTTCTGTCTTGGCTCCTGGGCACTGGAGTCTGACTCTCTTAATACCTACTATAGTTATGCAAAGGCAGAAGGAGCAAATACAGATTTGTGCCTAGGAATCAGGAAGGAGTGGGTTCACAAACGAGCAATTCAGTAAATATTGCAATGAGAAGATAATAGGCTTTGCTGTTGGAAACAGCTGCCTGAAGCCTACCTGTGGGGGCTGACAAGATACTGCGCTGGCTCAGAGTCAAGAAATTTTACGTTGCTGCTCTTGGAGCTAAGGAATATTGCGCAGAAAGAGATGGAGCAGGTGCTCTGATTCCGCTCCTGTTTCACAAAAGCAAAGCCCTCTTCACAGCCAGGCTCTCTGGGCTTCACGCAGACAGGCCAAAAGAATAAGAATGGCAGGAAGGACATTTTCTGTTTAAAGGTCAGGCTCCCAGAGAACTGGACAACAGCAACTACACTAATCCCTGAAGTCACTACTACTGGGAATAGTTTAAGTGTACTCTTTTCTCAAAAAAAATCACGTCTCTAGAGACCTTCAAGGTCTCTGCCAGTAGACCTTACTGAGATCAACATGTATATATCCAAAACATTCACAGGTGTTGTGGAGATGCTGGGCAAGGCTTAGAAATGTGGCTTTAAACTGTACTTGAAAAAACCTCTCGTATATCCTCCGTATCAGAGACCATAAAGGCTATACAGAACGCACTGGTAAGTAGGGGCTCTTTTGTCACCCACAGCCTCACAATTTTTCTGCCTTACTGACTTAACAATGAAAACTATAAAATTAGTAAGCAATGCCAAGAATCTCAGCTTCCTTCTCAAACCTATAAATTATCAATAATCCAAGGCAAGTATGGAAGTATTTCAACCAGGTTAAGGAAACAGAATAGGATTATTCATTACACATTTAACCAAGTACATCTCTAACCAAATACATATCTATTCTGATATTTCAGGTACTGCAGCTCTGTCCACAGACACACACACATGCTCCCATAATCCACCTTTAGCCATTGCCAAGGATGAGCTAGGTTCCTCAAGGAAATGAGCTGGTGGCTATTTTGCTTTGCAGAAGATGAAATACTTCTGCTTCTGTCTCTTCAATCCTCTGAACAACGCAGCTCCTCTTTATTTCCAGCAACAGAGCTTCATCCCTCTTTGTGGCCCAAGACTCCAGCAGCTCAGAAGAGGTCTGAGCTCCCCACACTTGTTTGATGTTTGCTGTCTGTTACAGAAATTCAAAACAAGACCAGAGTGTAAATTCAGTGGACAACATCAAGGGACTGCTATGGCACTACTAAGGCAGCCTAGTCCAATAGGCAAAAAGCCAGGACAGGATCTACTGTCAGCACTATACACTGACTTGGTGACTCTAGAGTATGTGGCAAGCTGTACAGTGCACACTGATAGCGTATTCAGGCCTTTGCAAAGCTCACTGTATCTGAATTTCAAAATAATGCAGATGATTCACTCATCATTACACCAAAACTACACCATTAATAATTCCAAACTCTAAGCATCACAGTCTCAAAATTCAACAACAGCTTGAGGAAAATGTTCTGTTCAGAAAACATCCTGTTTATTTTAACCCTTTTTTTATTTATGGCCATAAACCAGCACACATGAAGAGAACAAACTGCCTTATTGTCTTCGTGGTAAATTGCTCCCTAAGATCACAGATCTCAGCTGCATTACAACATTTTCCCCAGAAACCTTTTATGATGAACAGACAACCTCTAATAAATGAGTTAATGAGAAACAAAAATTCTCTGTTTGTGTAAGTACCTACCGAGAGAAAGAAGGAAACGAGTCTACACATGTGAATTAGTCAAGCACTTTGGTCTGCTTATGAACCTTCTGGTCGCTTCTATTTAATGACCTGTAGGTCAATAGCAGACATTTGTGCGTGCGTTTTACCAGCACACCAAGGATGAGACACAACTTCTTTCCCCTCATTTTGTAATCCTATAACCTATCCACTATAGGGAAGCAGAAGCTGCAATGCAGACTAAGATTTGTTACCTGGATTAACAAGGTCTGAAGGTTGCTGCAGATTCACTAAAGCTTGCTTGATCTCACACAGAGTCTTGGCAAGGGGGGAAGCTGCTATCAGGCTCTCCACCTCCAACTCAGTCAGATAAGTCAACTGGAGATCTAAATCTGAAGAAAACAGGGGGGCACTTTTAAGCCTAAAGGAAAAAGAGGCTCTTCATGGCTGGATAACTGCAACATCCACGCTGTCACAAGGAAATTCTGTATTGAGCAGAGAGAATGAATGAATGCCCAGAGGCTGTGAGAATCACAGAACTGATGTTATAGAATTTTCCTGACCTCTCCATATTAAAATTTAATTAGTATAATGACATCCAATCTCTTCCCTACAGGTAGTCGCTTAATATAAAGGTGTAAAGGGTCTGTGGGGATGAAAGTTCCCTGACTTCCCTCTTACAGAGGAATAGAGGAGGCAGAAGTGGCTTTCCTGAACTGAAGGAATTTCAGTTGTCAACCTCAGAGAAAAAAATTTATGTGAAAGTAAGAAATAGCATAAATGGGAAAAAGTAATTATATGTTTGCTCTGTTAGCAAACATACATACCCTCTCTTGACCTGGACTTCACCTGAATCAGCTTTCTACTGTGATCTCTGAAAAGTACCCATGGCACCCACAACTAAGCCACTGCCCTTACCATGTTCTTCGTGTCCAGGGAAGCTAAAAAAGCCATCTTTCCTATCGAAGAATTCGCATTGCTGAGGCAGCTCATGATCCTGTGGGATAAAAAATGCCCAAGAATTAAAAGAAAAGGGTAAGTGGAAAAAAACTAACAGAAAGGTGAGAGATGGCCCAACAGCAGACACCTGCAACTCACCTGCCCTTCCACAACTTCTGATTTACTTTCACTGCCCAGGCTGTCCAGTGAGGGTACAACTGTCACCGCATCCTGTCCTTGGACCTTCTGCTCCATCTCTTGTTTCACAGCTACATTCTTGTACAGAACGTTCCCAAGCAGCATTTCCAGAGCTTTCATTAACTCTGTTGCCTCTTGCCACGGAGCACCTAATGAACCTGACAAGCAATTTAAATGGACTTCTACAGAACCACACGACGACCTGTAATTATCTCCTGAGCAAAATCAAGAACAGGAACCTTTCTTTAGAAATTCCACAAGATAGCTCCAAGATGCCTTATGCTGTAACATTTCCAAATAACTCTGTGCTTACCTGTTCCTAAGCTGACAGACCTGTCCTCTCATTGAGCTCACATGAAGACAGGCTGCCAGCTCTTACAGAACTACACCACCACTAGAAGACATGATCTTGTGGGATCTCATCTCGTATATGATCTATGACTTTTTTTTAACCAGTCCATTGATGTTACCCTTACACTTCACTTCTGCTCTTGCTCTGCACTCTGATTCTCTCACCTGCTTGGAAGTTGTTGCTACAGTGTTCATCACATTGTTCAACACTCACTGCTGCCCAGCTGCTGTCTGCAGGTTTATGCCCACAAATCCTTTGCCTGGCAATGATTTTCAGGCTTTCAGTGTCCAGCGCTTGCACCATATCCTGTTTACAGAAAGCAGCAGTATGACACTCTGAAACCCTCACAATCCACCCATTCCACATGCTGCCTGTCATATCAAAACACAGATTAGCATAACTATTCTATGGCAAAATAAGGCATTGAAAGGAGGAAGACCTATCCCTCAGTAAACTGCCACTTCAAGGGAACAAGCTGATTTTACAAATGTCACGGTCCCAAGATTTCCCTTCCTCAATTGCTTCTTCACACTGACCATGAGACTTTGAATTCGCTGGCTGATTCCGTTGTAAAACACCAACACATCCATCCTGTGCTTTGCCAGCTGAGATGCCAGGTGCAAATTTTGATCTTCCAGCTTATCGTACAGGGTGCGAACACTGAAATCCTCCAGAACCCTCAGTGCAAAACGCTCTTCTGAAACACAAGGCAAGTCTCACACTTAACCACTGGCCACAAGTCCATTCTAATTTAATTCCCAGAAGGGGCACTGCCTATGAAGCAACAGCATTTTCTCTACTGTGAAGAAGGAAAATGGATGAAGCAAGAGATGGAAGAGAAGGTCTATTCCTGAGTGATGGGGAGGATGACAGAGTGCTACTATCAACTCCTGACTTGTCCAGTAAACTGTCAGGGTGCTACTTCTCTGTAAAATGTTCTCAGCATCACTAGATGGTGCTATCTGCTGGGCTCTGGACTTGCTGTATCCTGTGAACATCCTGAAATTCCCAAGATGAGGTCAAACCCAGAAGGTAAGCAAGCACCATGAGTTATGTGCTTTTGGAGAATAGAATGAGCAACAGGACAACTCAAGGAAATATTTTTAAAGATTGTTATTTTCTTCACTAGTCATTTGAACCCGCTGTTGTTTTAAAGGACTTTTCAGGGCTGGCCAGTTACTCTCCTGACTCTTAAGGAAGAAAACACTAACCCATTCCAATGACAGGAGGTTACACTCCTCAAATGAAGAGATCAAGTGAACCTAGAACGCAAGTGTGCCTGGTGTGTGTGTGTAAATGTGCACATACGTGTGAGTGCATAGCAGCCAAAGTGCCTGCGTGACCTCATGTGCATGCATAAATTTCTGGGTGAGTAGGTATCAAAATATCGTACTAGAGAGTTAACAGAAGACAACAGAATGGGGTGTAAGCAGGAAGAAGCCAAGAGGAGAACACCTGAAGTTGCCACAGCACTTCACCTGTGTTATGTGCAATTCCTTTTTCTCCAAAGCCAGCATCTTCTCCAGAACCATGAGGACCAACCATCTGGTAGAACTGAAGGCTAGAGGGAATGACAGAATAGGGTGAAGAGCATCTTATTCTTCTCAGTAGAATCAGATATTGCAGCATCACCTGTCTAGTTCAAGCAGATGGATAGGCTTCCTGTCTAGATTTTGAAGTCAAAACATGCAGGGTAAGCCTAGGTGAGGAAATTCAGGCAATAATTGTCTGTGCAGAAGACACAATGGAGCTGTTATACACTACACTGAAAGAGAGCTGGAATACTGCTGGGAAACTCCTGGGTAATTCCAAGAAATTCCCCGTGCAGCTAGAAACTCAGCGTACTGGAAAGCTGATAAGAAATCCAGCACTGGGGTCTGAGTCACTAATTGCAACCAGACATGCTTTTGTACTATCAAGGTCCGAGCTCCTGATACCTATTATCACACAAAGGTGGTTTACCTGTCTTTAAGGAGGATGTACTCTGGTGGGATGTGTGGCTCGCCCAGGCTCCTCCATCGCGGCTTCCAGCTCTTCAGGGGGCTAATGATGGGGACAGCAGGCTGGAGCACTATAGCCAGGGTTGTCAGCATCACAATTAGGAAGCCCAGAACAAAGAGGACCACTGGGGAAGCCAAGAGGGGTGGCAAGAAGTGAGAAACAGAGGAAGCAGTGTGTATCAGTAGCACAGACTCCCATTAACACTTTATGAAACGCTCTCCATCTGACAAACCCCCAGCATTTAGAAACTTTTGTAATCATTACATGGGCTTCTGCTTCTCCCCTTGCTGATCTGGTGCATGCAGGCAAGGAGGCAAAATGTTTTCTATTCAGGAAGCTGAAGGTGACAGAACCAAGGATCATGCTTGCAAGCCACACTTTCATTTCTATTGCTTTACTGTCTTCTCACTGAAGGACAAGGGACAGGCACGTGCACAGAGCTTAATCAGAGGTATGGCTTTGAGGAAAGACCTTAACTCGCCTTGTGTTTAGTCTTCAGTGAACTTTCAAATGATGCATTTAATTCCAGTTTAGTTTATCACGGAAACACACTGGCACTTTATGTTTTCAAGCCAAGGAAAACAAAGCCCTCAATTACTTGAATTCTTCAAGCAGGGTGTGGGGAGAATATACAACTGCTCCTTCCCTCTCTCCCCCTTCAGATACTACACAGGCAGGCTCTTGGCTAAAGAGCAGTGAAGCTTGGGAAGAAAAGCTCTATGTGAGAAAGGGATTAAAGATGACAAAGCCAGTGGTTTGATGGTATTTCCCAAAAAAATGCTTGTTTAAACACACCCGAAGAGGTACAAGAAAGGTCATGGCTAAGCATCAAGGTTCAAGGTAGGCGTCACAGTGTTTTGGTTGTACCTGTGATAGCAGCCCAGTTAGGAGCCAGGTTCAGATGCTGTTGCTTCAAAACCCCATGTCTGGCTAGCTGGAACAGAGAAGAGGGCTGGAAGGACACGTCTCTGGGGTCACAGCCCACATTTGCTTCATTTACAGTCACAATCAGGAAGTGTTCCTGAATGGTCCTATCCCTGAAAACATATGTCCCAGACTCCAGGAAAACATGGGCAAACCTAAAAGGGAGAAGTAAGGAAGGCACCGGTTGATTCAAGCTTCCTTTAGTCTTCAGCTGTGATGATGGTTAAATACAAAGACTTGAACACACCAAACTGGCATTTTCACATACTGCTCACTGCCAAGGACCACCTGATTCTGGAAAAGACTCACTCTCAAGTCCTGCCCATAACATATGCACTATTAATCACACCAGATATTACCAGGAGATGTTGAGGTGAGTCTCCTGGATGAGGTGGTCTAGCCTTCGGAAGGGTCCAAAATCCCAGCTTGGGTTGCTGTTATATAGATGCTGCTTCTGATAAACAGGGTAATGGCTGGATGCACGATCTGGGAACAGTTCAACACAGTGTCAGCAACTCTGACCCACTTTAGACAGCTGACACTGGTCTGGCAAAGAACTATGTAATTGTATTTCTTTTATAGGGCCATGCAGTGTCAGCTCATTTAATTGAGCATCAAATTGCATTACTGCCCAACAAAGACTTTCGTTTTCTAACAGAGTACAAATTTTATCTTTATTCTACAGAAATCCTGTGAAAAATGTAAAAAACACCAGGTAAGTCACCAGCAGAGCCTAGACTAAAGTTCTGGAATCCCCTGAAGGCAAGAAAGACAGGGAGGTGAAAGAATGTGCTCATACATGCAGTACTACCAAATGTGGAGTTATTGCTTTAAATGAGTTTGGACACACGTATCTGCAGAGAGCACCCAGACCCAACAACACTCACTGTGGGAGTTGATGCTAAGCTGGAAAAGGATCGTGTCTCCTGCTTCCAAACACACTACTGGGTTAGGAACAAGGGGCAAGGCTTGGATATCTTTGGAGGAAGTCCTCTGGACTTGACGACCCTTCTGCAGCAACTGATCTGATGAAATATCTCCTGCCACAGGCAAGAGAACAAAACAGAATGAATTCCGTAAAATGAGCAGCATGTGAAAACACCTAACCCTTAGCAATGAAGAACTATTTATTTTGTATCCGTGGGCAATTACAGCTCACAAGGCCAAATTCTGCTCTCAGTCACACTACCAAGAATGAGGAGCAACTGGAATCAGGAGTCAGCACACATTTGCCAACAGATTTGCCTCCAAATGGAGTTTCATTCTAGTTCCTTGGAAGGCAAAAATCATCCTACAGCCTTTATCTGACCCATTCCCACAGAATTAACCATGCAGCCAGTGCAGGTCCTCATTGTTTACTCCCAGATAGAATGAGATCTATCCCTACTTTGTAAATACTTTGAGATGTCTGAAAATAAATTGTCTCAGCGCCAGCTTGCTGTCTACTTGCTATGCCAACTAGAAAGAAAATGAATGGCTTTGGCTGGAACTTCAGTTCACTCTCAGGGGTTCTCGAGCCTTACCTGTGAGAAATGCATCCAGAACATCTGTGCTTGAGACAATGAAACCTAGCACTCCACTGGGACTAAACAGAACCAAATGCACCCGCTGGCTTTTCTGCACGTGTTCATCCGGGCCCAGAACGTTTCTCACTTCCTATTAAAAGCAGAAGGGAACACTGATCACTGATACAATCAATGCTGGACTCAGACCCTGGTTTGTGATCAAGCTTACCTTCAGCTGTACAAGACTGCTCTAGTGAGGTTTTTTTCCTCACCGTTCAGGAACTGTCATTTCTTATAATGTACCAACCTGCTGCCTGATCAGTATTCTGAGTCATGAGACATACCAAGCCTCTCCTCTCTGCTCACAGGTTCATACCTGTCTCTAACCTCAGCCCCCAGGAGTCCCTTTACCTAACTCTAATCTGTAAGGGCCCTCTCCAGACTTGCATGCTGAGAAACCATTCCCCCACTCCATACTTACCCTCACTTCTCCTTCATTCATCCTCAGAAGTAGCTCTCTATTGATGCCAAACCCCAAGGAGATTTGTGGGGCTCTCAGCAAACACACTTGGTCACAGAGTTCCTCAGCAGAGACATACTGCTTGCAGTGACATCTATAAATTGGACAAAAGGTCTTGATCCCTTACAATCCCCAAGCAAACAGCTACAACATACTGATGATCAGGCTAGTCCTAGTATCTTACAATCTACACAATGAGTGGGCCTGCTCTATGTCTGTGGAAAACAGGATAGACCAAACTCACAGCCCATCTCATCCAGAACTGTGTCTGCTACTCAGTGCATGGGAAATGCCAAAATGTGATACCCCAGTCTCTCACAGGCCTCTGCTGGTGTCTAATAGAGATCAACTTCAGCCCTGTAACAGAGCATTATGCATTCCTCCCTAAAGTTCTGATTAAAGGAAACAGTTGAAAGAAAGAGAGTATAATTTTAACACACTAAATTTCTGTGCAGTCCATGTCAGGAGGAAATTTTGCAATACAGAAATTCATTCACAAGGAGGAAAAGTAGTGTCACATGACAAGAACGAGCTTCAATGTTTTAGTCAATGTTCAAGGTGGGGAGAGAATGAGGATTTATCTCCTCAGTTCTTACCTAAATCAAACAGAGTGATCATCCACTTTAGGGGGGCTCAACCTGAGGTACGTGGAAAAGGTCTACCTCAGAAAATATGAGCTCTGTCCACCCTCACCTTGTCACTCAGTGTTCATTCTGGTGTCTCCACCCAAGCATATAAAATCACTAGGTAATGCAGAAAACACAGGCATACCCTCCAGGTCGAGGAATGAGGCCAATGAATGTGGACTGAAGGCCAGTTATGTCCACGGAAAGGAACTCTAGCAGTGGAAATTTTCTCAAAAATACCTCCCACAGCCCTACCCTGGAATGACCTCATGGGATTAGTAACTCAGTCAGTCATAACTAATTGTGAAGTGCTTCTTAATGAGGGGCTGGGCTGAGACTTACATGCCCAGCTCTGCGTTAATCTCTCCACCTGCAGGCCCACAAGAAGGAGAGCAGTCATATCGCTCAGGAAAAACGCACTGGCGCGTAGATGCTAGACGGACCTCTCCAGGAGCACAGAGCTCATCCACCTGGAAGAACAACACTCACCCAATGTGTGAAACCAGACAAGCTCTAGCACTTCAACCGAGATGCAGCATCCTTAAAATTCTCTTCTTCCTCCACCCACACTGCTGACATTCAACGTAAAGGTAATCCAACAAGGGCCATTAAAAGACAACTTGGAAAGCATGGAAGAAAGATCACAGCAATTTCACTCCCCATCCAAATTTCTCAAGCAGGTCTGATGAAGAACTCCTTAGCAACAATATGAAGGTTTGAATTCCTTCATTTGTCATCTATCTGAGACACTGCGCTGCTCCCCATTGCCCTATCATGGAAGTATCCTCTGCTTCCATCCCTTACGAATTTAGCTTCACAAGATTCTCGTAAAGAAGACAAGTGCCATTATCCTACAAGCAAGGGCTAAGGGTCACAAATCAAACAGCTGAAGGACCTGCTTGTGTCTGCAGCAGCCCAGAGAACTGAACTTGGATTGCACGCACGCACACACGCTGAGACAGAGCCTAAAAGTGCTGAATTACTCTCCCTCTCCTGCACGTCACACAACAATGTTTTGAAGCCAAATTTTACCTGAGGTCGGCAGTCCTGATCACTGTTGCTGTCAGGGTCTTTCTTGCCTCTCTCATCATAGTAAATGTAACCTGCCTGGCAGATACAGGAGGCGTCTGAGTGCTGGAAGGCCCGGTTCAGCCCATGGCAGGTACAGCTGGTAGCACCTTAGAGAAGAGATTGGATTTAGAGTGGTAATCAGGATAGGGAACATAGTGCGTAAAAACTGCACTTACTGAAAAGGAGCAGTTCCTATGGTGAATACTCTTTGACCAAATCACACTGCTTATTTTAGCGATGCTCCTGGAGTCTGTTGCCCTACTAGCACAGCAGAGCTGAGCCAACAGGAAAGCCAGCTGGAGCCAGCCTGCCTTCTGCTCCACCAGCAGTGTCATTAGACCATTTCCTGAAGTGTCCATTTAACAAGAGATGCAGAAAGGCCCAGCTGGTCCTCTGCCGCAGTGGCATTTTGACAAGCACTCCATTAATTTGTACATTAAGCCACTGGATAGGGTAAGGACCCAGTCTATCAAGACTTCCAAGCCCCTTGTGCCTCAAACACTCTCAAATATACTTGATTGGAGATGCTGGTACAGTACTGCACAGTACACTAAGGCATATGCACTCTACTGTGCTCAGTCACCCACCTCCCAGTTTTCTACCCTTTTCTCATCTTAACATGGCCCAAGCTGGACAGGGTTCAGTGTCCAATTTTGGCTCAAAAGCACACCCACACTTAACACAAGCTCCCCAATTCAGGGCAAAAGTACTCTTGATAAAACTCCACTGCTTTCAAAGCAGTGATAGAGCAAGAATTAGTAGGGCTGCTCATCTCTTCCTTCCTTTGAAAGAGACCAAATCCCCTCAGCTAACAGAGAAAAAGCAATGGCTTTGAAAATTGAATCCTCCTCCTGGGTGGGACAGAGGAAGAGCAGCTGGGCATTGGTAGCACGCTGAGCATCATGAGGGCTTGTGGTCCATTGTGAAACCATGTGGGGGAACCACATTACTAGGCGTTTTCAGTCTTTCTCCTAACAGAGGAGAAAGTTTCACTCACACAGAGCAACTCACCAGGCTGAGAGGAAGAAGAGCTGCCACAGGGGAAACAGGCAGCCTGGGCAGGAAGGTGATTGAAGGACCCAGCAGGACAGGCCTGGCAATCCTCTCTGTGCTTCGCAAAGTTGCTGCTCCCATGGGTGCCCGGGGGACAGGGCAGAGGGGCAGATGCCAGGGGAGGGCAGTAATGGCCAGTGGGACAAGGCTTCTTGTGGTAACTCTCGCTGCCTAGAGAAAGTGATGGGCTATCAGACACAGACACTGCTCAAGGACCCAGGGAAGTGCTAAGAGGTAAGCAGAGACCACTTATTTATTCCAGTTATAGGTGTACCCATACCCAAATATATGTACATACATACAAATGAATATATATACACATGTATGTACATAGAGAGTTAATCAGTTCAACATTTTTCAATCTAATTTATTAATATCTAAATATAAATCTTGCTTTCTTTGTCCCAGCTATTTCTCTGGAAAAATCCAGTGGCAAGAGTGGGTAGGCATGAACTCCTTCACGTTATACAGCAGGAGCTAACACATCAGTGAGCTTAATATAGGATCCCAGCCAACAGAGGCTTTCAAATGCTTGTAAAGTGATTCCTCCGGCATCCTAACCCAGCAGGTTGTAAGCAGCAGTGGATGTCACACAGCAGACTTTGAACCCCTAGGTTCGCTCTTCTACTTCTGGTAATACATTAACTCCTCTCAGCTAAGCCACAAAATTAGAGAAAACAGGTCTGAGAAATCATCCCCTGAGAGACAGGACACCAGTATCCAAACCGCTCTTGACCCATTTCCCTAAATTCTCATAACAACCTACCACAACAAACGCTCCACAAACTAAATGTGACAGCCCACACCAGGGATTTATAACTGTAAAGGATTGAGAGTTTTGGCCACATAGAACTTAAAACTTTCTGGTTACAATTTAAGCTGCTATTTCTTGCCCCACTCCTCCATGGCAGCACCATTTACCTTGTGGGCAGAGGAAGCCGGCTGGGCAGGGCTGACAGGGTGCCGCGATGAGGGAGTCACTACGATAGGTGCCTGCATCACAGATTCTGCAGAATTTCTCGAATGAATCCCTTGGACCAGGGGAGCTGAGGGCCATGTACCCTCCCTCACAAGGCAGGGGATGGGCACTGCCTGGGGGACAGTAGTAGGGAAACACACACCTGGAAAACAAAACAAGAAAGAGGGAAAAAAGTCTCTGGAAAGGTTTTGATTTCTGGATTCAATGACCAGTGCAAACTGAGGGCAATATTAAAAATGGTTCTCATCTGGTTCCAGGCTCAAACTAGCTAACAGAAATCATAAATCACCCTATTCAGTCTTAGCAGTCACCCAAATTCTTAACTGTAATTACAAATGTACCTTTGGCTTTTGTGCAATGCACAGACTGTGCTTGAAGCATTAACTCAGGTTTTATCACAGGCACATTTCACAATATTCAGAGTTTTTAGAAACTTAAAGCTGGCTGCACCAAACATTCTGGGTACTCACAGCTGCTCAGGGCTATTGTATGTTGATGATCCTTCAGGACAGTAATACCCAGCAGGGCACGCAGAAGGCACGGCTGTGTGAGCACCACAGTACAGGCCAGGCCTGCAAGGCTTTGGATTTACTGAACCTGGTGGAAACAAGGGGGAATGGTGACTGATTATGTGACATTACCAGAACAGGAGAGTATGTGTTGGGGAGACAGTGAGCAAAACCACACTTTATTAAGTGTGACTATCCATAAACAATCACTTTTCCTATTGCTCACAAAAGGGCACAGATCTGTTGGGGACCAGTTTGCTATTTAGCATGAAATGCTAACACCTGAATGCCTAGCCCTGGATGATGAAAAACATCTGCTCCTTTTCTAGACCCAGACCTCTTCCTTTGGAGACCTCAGCTAAATGAGAACAGAAAGGGAGGGCTGAGAAACAGGACATGGGAATTCAAAGGCCAAAAGCCAGGACAACTCCATCATCGACCATGTCCCATTCTTGCAGCAGCCCTCCTAGGACTACATTCATGGCTAAATGCTATGGCTGTAGCCATATAGACTTGGAAATGACTGGAAATAAAGAGAACAAAGGAGCACGGTCATGTCACCTGCTGGGCATTCATAGCCAGGTTTACAGGGTACTCCTTGGGTGTTAGGCAGCCCTGTCTGTGCTGGATCCGGGCAATAGTATCCAGGTGAGCAGGGTTCACACTCTTCCAATGATTTTGCACCAGGCTGGATCCTGGAAGTGCCAGCTGGACAAAGGAAAGTGTCCCCCTTACCAGGGCACCAGTATCCAGGGGGGCACGGATAATCTTCAAACCTGGTCAGACCTGTTAGGAAGAGAAAAGAATGAAGAAAGGGAGGCTGAGTGGCCAGGACAGGTTTTAGAGAAGAGCTCTTAGCTCGCTGTGAACATGAATTACCTCTCCCTTTCCCTATCTCATCACAGGGAGTTCTGTAACCAGCTCCAGAGGTGGGAAAGGGCTGGCTTTCACCTGGCACTTACCTGATAAAGGGCAGTGGTAGCCTGGAGGACATGGCTGGCAATCTGTCAGGCTCTGAGCACCAGGGTGCTTGCGGTAAGTCTGTGGAGGGCACTTCTGAGGTGCCAGGAGACTGCTGTGGTCGCTGTCATTGCCTCCGAAGCAATAGTGTCCTGATGGACATGGGTAGGCCTCTGAGTCCCCTAACAAGCAGAAAGCAGGGCTTTAAGGAGTCATCTTTACATTGTAATTGGAACATCTTTCTTCTGTGTCCTCACTAGGTCTTTCCTAAACTACTGCATGTATGTGTACAATCTACCTCCACAATCCAAGCCCCTCTCCTGACAGAGAGCACACAGGGATGTTTGGAGACTGGTTGTTATCTCAGGCTTTGCTACATTTCCAGTGTTTGCTGGAACAGCACACTATATTAACAGTGTTAAATGTCTCTTTCTCTTCAGACACTAGAACTCATCACTAGAGGCATTGTATCCCACTGCAAGGACTGTTCCACAATGCTGTATTTGGTATGGAAGCTAGCCACACCAGACTCAGGGATACATACAACTCTTGAAAAATAACTCCCATTCCCTCCCCTCACTGTTTACCCCCAGTTTCCAACCTGCTTTACACCAGTGGCCCAACGGACAGGGCAGGCAGTCTTCTCTCTTCACAGCCCCTGGAACATCTCTAATAGTATTGGCAGGACATGGTATAGGTACCTCAGATCCCTCCACGCAGTAGAACCCTATAGAAATGGATGAGAGAGAGATGCAAGTAAAATAGGAAAGCCCTCCAATGACAAAAATGACTCAGCAAGAGCCTCCTGTGGCTGTAGAATGAGCATCTATACAGCTGTTGGGATGCTGCTGTGCATAAAGTCAAACCAACAGCCTTCAAACTTTCCTGGGCTAGCAGTCTAACAGCCTTCAAACTTTCCTGGGCTAGCAGTCTAACACCATACATTCAAGGTGGCCTTTTTGGTGAGGCACACATCTGTTTAAAAGATGTAAAACCAGAGGAAACCAATGAGCCATGGCAACTTCAAAGAAGGGATCACAGTATATTATGCAAAATAACAGCTACACTCCAGTTGATTAGAAGCAAGTCAATATTCTATACTTTAAATACCACTGAGATTCTCACCTACCTGCAGGACACAGCCCTGCACACACCTGACCCCAGCGGCACCCATATGGGAAGCGCCAGGAAAAGCCCTGGCCCTGTGGAGTAGCTTGAGAGCTCCCAGCAAGGCAGAAGTACCCAGCAGCACACTTCCCCTCCAGCCGTCCATGCCTGCAGCAGAGAGGACAGTAAGAATTTATATACTACCTACTGCTGCTAATGATCGGTGCAGAAGCAGAGCAAGTGTTGATGCAATGAGCTCTACAAAGTCTGCAACAAAAAATAAGAATGTTTTACACTGATATGAGAGAGAAAGCAGACCCATTTTTTCCACTTACAAAACCAAACAAATGACTAGAGTGAGCCAGGCACTTTTGAGTTCAAATTCCATAAACATGGTCAAATTGCTTTAGATGAAATCGTGGATGACTTTCCACTAGGCTGGACTTTGTGGATTACTTCCATATTTTCACAAATGCTACCTACTATCTCTTTCAGATGCTCCTCTGTATCATGACAATGACATCAGTCTGCTTTGAGATGCCTCCCAAAATTCACAGACCCAACAACTCCATATCCAAAAGCTGTATCTAAGCTTACACCTCTTTTCTTTGAATGAGAGGTGTGGTAGAGAGAAGCTGGGAGGAACTTGGCATAGACTTATCAGCACAAAACAAGAATGCCAAACTGCTTAAGACAAAGTGGATAAAAAAGTCAGATTGAAATGAATCATAACCTGCAGTAGTGACCAGGTAAGCAAGACAGGCATTCCTTCTCATTCCAGAGGCCAGTCATATTTGTAGGAGTGAAGGTGCCTTCAGGACATGTGAGAGGAACCCATGTGCCTGAAATGGAGACCAGAGAGACAATAAAAATCCCTAGGAAGACTGTTGCAATTCGACAAGTCTCTAGAACCATATCAGAGCATAACAAATGACTCCCAGAAACCAAGGCAGCAAACTGTGCCACATTTGCTCACTGCCACCTTCTCATCACTTTGCCTACAGGAAGACACACATTAGGTTTGTACAACTCCAAAATCACAGCGAGGCACACAACACTTGAATCCTTGGCATAGCTGGTATGCGAGTTTCAGCGTACCTGCAGGACAATAAGAATGTGGTGGGCAGCGCTTGGGGTCTCCTGCCACCAGCTCCTGGCAGTAGAACCCCCTCTGACATGGAACGCAGGATCCAGAGCCCCTGGCTGGCTGGTATTCCCCGGGAGGGCACGGCGTTGGGTGGGCTGCCCCTGACGGGCAGAAGTGACCCTGGCAATGACAGAGAAGGGAGAGGATTTCATGGACGTGGTGGCAAACTTAGGGGCTGTGTAAAGCGTGAATCCCAGAATTATCAAAGCCTAGGGCAGCCTCCCGTGTGGATGTAAGTCAACATTCCAATCAGGCATGTGTGACCCTTTGCCACTGTGGAAAATGAACACCTCCTGCCCAGAGCTGAGACCCACCACTTTCACAGCCCCGCTGCCACTAAGCAGTACCTTAGGGCAGAGGAATGCCGTGGGGCTGACGGAGCTGAAGTTTGCTGGGCAGTAAAACCCTTCAGCACAAGGTCCTGTTGGAGAACTCAAACCAATGCTAGCACAGAAAGACCCAGGATAGCATGGCACACAGCTGTCTGGGGAGGTACCACCTGAGGAGGAAACCAAAAGAGAAGGCCAGTGAGAGAGGGAGATGAAAGTACACCCAGTACAGTCACAGCGTTGTCAGTACTCATTTGAACTGGTATCACATCGCCACTGTCAGGCCTGGCTGAGTGTCCCAATACCCTTCAGTGACCAAAGGACACCCCCTCACCACGGATCCTGGCAATGAAGTCCCTTATCACAGTGGGCCACCGGAGAAACCTGTGGGTGAATTCACGCTCACCTGTGGCATTGTTCAAGGTCCCAGCTGGGCAGGCAACTGGGAAATGAGTACCCTCTGGACAATAGTGCCCAAGTGGGCAGGCCCCACTGAGCGGGAAGGCAGGTGTCTCATGTGGAACAGCATCCGTGGCTCCTCCTTCACAGTAGTACCCAGCTGAACACAGACCTGCCACGGGAGAACAGAGAGGGTGGCAATTGCCAGCCCATGGCATCGTGATCAGTGAAGAGGCACTTCCTCAAACCCTCAGAAGCAGGCAGGTAACTCAGAGAAGGGAAGCTGAAAGCCCATCCTTGTCCTGTTTTTTCACTGCTGATATCCTGGGCTGTTCATCTTTGGTTTGCTTTCCCTCCTTCTCATCAATCTTTGGCCTCTACCACTTCCTTTCTTGATCCCATGTGACATTTTCTTACCTTCTCACTTCTCTAACTGGTTCCCTGTAGGTTGTTTTCTGTGGAAACAGATCTGCACCTCTTCTTTTCATGCATCCAACCTTTGCATTTTGGCTCAGGGATGATTACTCTGTGTTTTAATGGGAGGGAAAGGATTTAGGACAGAAAGAAGAGCAATAAAGCGTTAAAAGAAAATGAAGAGAAAGTGGAAAAAAACTAAGGGAGACAAGGAAAGTAATACAGTAATGTAGAAGTAACATCCAAAAGAAATGCTCAGTTAAAAGAGTGAAACAGAGAAAAGCAATGAGTGATAGGCACAGGCATAGGGTAGGAGGGTGCCCTCCAATAGCCTTTACTACCTCTGCTCACTGAGATACGTTTTCTACTTCCCTGCATCCTTCAGCCCTGAATCTCCAACTCCTCTGTCGTGGGTGGTCTGTTATTAACTAAACTCACCATCAGGTTCCCAGTTAGCATCTCCTCTGCAGTACCTCCCCACTGGGCACAGCTTGCAGGCAGTGGGGGCCAACGCCCCCTCCAAGGTGTTCAGTGTCCCCTCGGGGCACGGCAGGGGAACAGCGGTCCGAACTGGACAGTAGTAACCTGTACGTGGAGAGCTGAATGAGCCACTGCTCAAAAAAGAAAGGAGAAAGGGGTGGGAACACTGAGCTTGCTGTAACTACTGGCCGATACCCCACTCCCTGGAGCAAACCACTGCTACAGCTCAGCCAGGAAGAGTTGTGGGGGCATCTGTCCTATCTCTTCCCCTTTGGGTGCTGGGGGGTCTTGCTGCACACACGTATCGCTCACCTCTGGGGCAGCTGAGTGGCTCCACAGTGGTGGCATTGCTGCAGGCCATGCCAGCCGGGCAAGGGAGGCAGGCGCTTGCCCCAGGCACAGGGCTGAACGTACCAGGCTCACAGGGCAGTTCTAGCCCCGTGCCTGCAGGACAGTAGAAGCCACTGGGACATCTGTATCCATGAATCTCATCAGAAGGGCAGGGAGCAGAGTTTCCTTCCAGGCAAACGTAACTGCAGAGAGAGAATTCAGACCTGAAACAATGAGCTCACAGCCCTGTGCAGAGGCAATAGATGGGGGAGGCACTAGTCAAGAACCAGGGGTCAGCACATTAAGAAATGTTTATGTCAGTTTTTCTATCATGTTCTCTCCCTGATCTGTAATTCAGTATCCACCTGAAAATCCTGGTAAAAGGCTTTTTTTTGCTAAGCTGACGGGGAAGTGTTCTCTTTCTGGAAGGAAAAGCCTTTGAAATCTAAAGGGTTTTTTTACTTCAAATCACAGGGCCTGAGTGTTCAGTTCCTGCTGTCTTTTCTTAGACTCCTTTTATCCCCAGTCTTCTTGTAGGCTCCTGCTTTAATGCCATCTAGTTCTGTATTGACTAGCCTTACCACTTTCCCTCCCAACACCCTCACAACAAGTAAAGATAATGAAATACAAAAGCTATTATGGTAAGAGATAAGTAACAAGAAAATGAGAGCCATGATCCCATCGCATGGGGTAGACAAGGATTCAAAAGAGGTAATTTCTGAAGAAGAAACAATTCCTAGTCCTTAAGGCAAATGACTGAGTGCAAAAGGAACAGCACTGAACAAAACAACAGCAAAGCTGTGGGTTTTTTTTGTCTGGAAGCAAGACCTATTTAGACTGAACAGCAGGCTATGGGAAGTGATGGATGCTACATGGTAGAGGTGTTGAAAAGCAGCCTTGGCAAAACCCAAATTGTACCCTGTTGGAGGGCAAGAACTTCACAGATTTTGGAAGTTGAGGATCGCTTATAATCATGTAATATTCATTATCTTTCAGCCCAGAAAACCTTAGCCAATACTGTTGCAGACAGGCTATAGCGTCTTTCTAGGGTTAAAGGAGTTTTTGGGAAGGCTTAAAATTTGACTGAGGTATGGCAAATCCCTTTTATTCCCAGGAAACCTGTTTCCGTGGCTAATTATTTTTAGTCATTCCAAACACAGCCCTTGCTTGTATTCTGAGCTTAGATTCACCATCCAGCCAAATTTTGTTGTTATTTTCGCCACTAGATTCAAGAGCCATCTGCTATCAGAAATCTTTCCCCACAAAATCTCATTATATTACAGTGAGATCACATCTAAGACTTTCTTTCACAGATAAAATAAACTGAGCTTCTGTAGCCTTTTGCTATGAGGCATACTCATGAGATGGACAAATATTGCTAACGGCACTTTCTGCTTGCCTTATGAAGTCTGGAAATGTTACCTTGTCACTGGTTATTGCACCATCTTGTGGGAGAAGAGATAAAACACAGAAGGGAAAAAAGATGCCCAGGTCAAATTCTCAGCAAGTGTGGTCATGAGGCTAAATAAGGGATTTGTAATACACTAAACCTATGGTGAAAACAGTGAAATATTATGTATAAGGCTAGGGCAGAATATCAGGCAAAAATAAAAGGAAAAGGAATGGCCCTGAAACATCTACTGAGATCACCAAATAGATGCTATATAGCTGACTCAAAGAGCTAAGAACAAAGTCTGCAATGTAATTAACCCTGAGTATAAATATTTGCACTCAATGCATTCAACGACAGATGTTCAGGCCCAGTATCTTTTAGTTTGGATGTCCTTCTACTACAACCTACAGCCATCCTGCTGGCCGTATTTTGCTGCTAACAAGTGACTGTCTCACCGCACCCTGGGTTACACAGGGATGTCTGGGCCAGATCAGACAATCCTGCTCCGCTGCAATACCGTCCAGCTGGGCAGGGCTGGCACTGTTCCTCTGCCTCCAGGCCCATGATGGAAGAGAAGGATCCAGGAGGACAGGGCATGGGATACCCTGTACCACGGGGGCAGAAATGCCCCACAGGACAGATGTCATTCCCAGGCAGACCAAGGCTGGAAGATTCCACCTGTATCAGAAAATCACAGAGGAGAAAAAAGTGTTATTGAAAGAAGATTTAGCACAATGTTCTACAAAGACAGGTTCTGGAAAACATGGGAGCTGAGCCCTAGAGGTTTGCTGCCACTGGAATGAAATGAAGACCACGGCTGGCATAAAAAGGACACTGGCTGTCAAGACGTGGATATCTTACCCCAATGCCATCTTTTGGAGGAGATATTAAGACAGCATACTCCAGTGCAATCCACAGAAACAGAGAACTGGCCAGAATTTATTAGTAGGCAGCAACGTATTCCAGCAGACATTAAGAGCAGCGTGTCACTACATCTGAGGAGCTCTCAAGGGTAAAAGGCACGAGCAACCTCATACAGAGCAGTAATGCTTGGAAAATGCTACACTGAAGATAAAAGATTGTGACAGTTGAGTCCTTGTCCCCAGGTCACTAGGTTTACTATGCTGCTGCCTGGCACCCACTCACCCTGTGTTTGAAGGGGGCTGGGTTGATGGCTCCCTTGGTACAATGGTAACCTGAGTAGCAAAATCCAGAAGGCTGTGATAGACCTCGTGTTGAGCAATACATGCCTAAAATGAACAGAAACGCAGCCTCAGTGTGATGGCCGGCACAGAAGATCAGCGGACGAGTCAGTAACACAAAGGGAAGAGTCGTATTTTCCTCAACCTTCCCTCACGTTCACCCCTGGGTTTCTCGTGCCAAGTCCCCACCTACCTGCTGGGCAGGGCTCACAGTCAGACTCGCTAGTGGCACCAGTCCTGGGGCCAAAGGTACCCTTGGGACACGGATGCTCTGTACTGAAGTTGGTACCGGGCAGACAGAAGTACCCAGCAGGGCACACCTCAGGTGTGTGTGCTCCAGAACCTAGGATACAAATAATAGCACCTTGCTCAGGAGATAGTACAAGAGGTGACAGTCAATGTTGTTCTCTACCAACACAGACAGCCTTCCTCCCCTACCAGTTCAGCCAGGACATGGGATTCACTGTGCATACTTCTGATTCAGTTGTTCAGATTCCTGTTGCAGTAATTGGAGAGAAACAGCACTTCCAGAGGAACTGCACTTCAAGTGCAATTCATCTCATCCTAAGGTAGACATCTGAGAAAGATAATTTGCATCTCAGAAGTATCACTTTTTGTTGACTACAGAGGGAGTACGTAAAACTAGCTCAGATACTATGTCTGAAAAGGAGCTGTCTACAGTTTTATTAGAGTAATCTCATCTAGAGAGTTCAATCACACCTGTGCAGCCATATTTTTTGTGTTTTTTTTTGTTACATGCATTAGCTGCCACACAGAGATATATATCTTCCTTACTTATATTCTCCTGGGCACGTAGTTTCTTTCCCCAGACAGGACAAAGATTTCATTTCAGGCTACTTGTTCACCTACAACCTCATATTCTTTGAAATGTGTTTTGATTTCCATTCTTGGCAGAAACTGATGCACCTGCCTGTCCAGTCCCATCTATGTAATACTGACTTAGTAGAACCTTAACAGAAGAAAGGAAGCTGCAGCATTCAAAATCCCTTTTTGTTCCACTAGGTCTAACGGGAAGACTCAGCCCTTAGTGACATGGAATCCCTTTTTATCACAACACACAGCCCCCTCCAGACTCCTCATTTTTGTTAGGCTGTTCACAGAGGAGTCCTGCTGGGCAGAGGTCACAAAAGTCCTTCCTCTCCTGTGACTGATATGTCCTATTCTCACAGGGTATAGGAAAAGCACATCCCATGGGGCAGTAAAAGCCTCGTGGACAGTGATAGGGAATGGGAGTCACTGAAATCTGGCCAGGTAGGAAGTAGCAGCCTGCAGAACATCACAAGTGGTTTTGCCCAGCCTTGCAACAACAAAAGCAAAGCCTTTCCTTTTCCTTTGCCAGGTCAAAGACAATGGAAAGCCTTATCTCCTGAAATAATGATCTCCATCATATACCTGTAACGTGTCAGAAAGTACCTATTCTCTGAAGCTCAGCCTCAGACAAAGAACATCCTATCGCACAGGAAAGTCAGTTCTGAAATATATGCCTCGGGTAATCATAGGCTTCCAGTTAAAATGCTCAGCTGTAATTCTGAGGCTCTCAGTTGTGGTACCAGCTCTGCTATAAACTCCTGTTAGCTCAATCAAGTAATTTCCTCCCCTTTGTTTCAGGCTCACGGAAGGTGATGGGTGAATCTGTTACTGTCAGGGTGACTGTAAATATTTCAGTGCTGGGGGGAGCAAATAAACATCTTGGACAGACAGCTGCTGAGAACCTCTGAGAAGGAGCAGCTGTCTCAGAGCAGAGACCCTGGCTGCTGGCCAGCACCAAGCACCCGTTTGACAGGATATTTTGCTTCCCCCAAAAGGCCAAAGACATACAAGATGTCTAGAAGAGGTGGCTGTGCCAAGGAAGGAAGACGGTGTAATAGCTAGCAAGAAATGTTATGGGTAACCTGAGACTGGTATCAAGAACCCAACGGGAGTTTTGGAAGACAACTGATTTGGGGCATTTAGACTTAGTGTACATCCTGCAGAAACTGTTGCTAACCAAAGATGATATGTGGCATTTAATGAGTTTGTTTTTCCTCTATCTGCTAAGGACAGGCTTGTAAGAAATAAAGCAGTAGTGGGAGTCTATCCTGACTCACATTGCATAACCCCCCCAGTTCCTAAAGACACCAGCAGAGACTCACCACTGCAGAAGTATCCAGCTGGGCAGAGCTGACAGTCTGTTGACTGCCATTTTCCACTGTCAGAATTGAAGCTTCCAGGGCTGCACGGGGTTGGAGATCCAGAGCCTTCAGGACAGTAGAAACCAGGGGGACAGTGCTTATGATCTGGCTGCGTGGATCCAAGATCACAGAAATATCCAGCATAACATGTGCCTGCAATAAAGAAAGGCTTCAGCATTAGGTTGGAGCAATCATAAAACATCATAAAATCCAAACTAGGAGACAAAAAAGATGTTGGATGTAAGTAAAACGCACCAGAAACGCTGGCCTGGCCTTCTCCTTGGCAGAACTTCCCCTGAGGGCAGGGCAGACAGTCATTACGGTAAACCATCCCAGACTGAGGTAAAAACGTGCCAGTGGGACATAGCTCTGGCTTGCTGCTGGCTGGCGGGCAGTAATGGCCTGCTGGGCAAATGTCACCCGCCTCGTCATTAACAGGATTGGGTATATGTGCCTTTGAAGTGCAGTAATAGCCAGGCAAACAAGGACCGCTTGGGGATGAGAGTCCTAAAGAAAAGGAACATCAAGTCAAATAAACCAGTGGCATTACATAAATCAGAGCTTCCGGACTAAACAAACCAGACAAGCCTTGTCATCACAATGCTTTCAGAGTCGATTGGCCTGCGACTAGCTCTGTTACATAAAAGCTCAATCTACAGTCTCCATATCTACTTACACAACAGATTACCAGACAGCTAAAGGCCTAAACCGCTTTCTAGATCAGCTTTACAGAAGGGGCCGCTTGGTACCGGCCTTTCCACTAAGAGACAACCAACAATGAATGAGTCATAGAACCAGAGCTGCTTGGCTTTTGGTTTCATAATCTTTGTTAAAACAAAAACATGGTAATATGCCTCTTTGATTAAATTTACAAAAAATAGTTTTCAAAAACATTTAAAATTATCACAAAGAATCTCTACTCAAGGGATCTCAGAGACCACTGCCAATGCTACTTAAAAGTCATATGAACTGCATGCAGAAGAATACTCATTGGTGGAACTTTTTGATACAAAACAGCCTAGGATTGTATTTAATCCGTACGCGATTCCTACCTGCACTGGCACAAAACGTGCCTCCAGGACAAGGCTTGCATTCCCTGGGATTTCCCAGTCCAGTTTGGTTACTGTAGGTACCCTCTGGGCATGGGTACCCATCGGCAGCTTTTGCTCCTGATGGGCAGTAATATCCTGCTGGACATTCTACTGGTTTGACCACGCCACGTGAGAAGTTCTCTTGGAGATCACCTGAGTGATCCTTTAGGGCACAGAACCTACCAAAAAAACCCCACGTCTTGCCTCAGCCCCTGTTCTCCCTCTGCTCTCACAGAGACTAAGAAACTTTTGCTGTACAACAGTGACAGTCTAAGACTACGCAATAAAAGGAAAGCAAATTACTTGAAAGGAAACAAGCAGAGAGCTAAGATGCAACCTGTCGGGATCATTTTGTCCAATCCAGCAGACAGACCTACCAGGATGGATTATTCTACAATACATGGGTTGTGGTAGAGAAAATGACACGATAAAGAGAAAGATGATACAAAAACAGAAACAAGAAAACCAGGCCTTGTATATCAAAGGATACCACAGAGAGAACAGCCTAAAGCAGAGGGAAATACACAGACTAATTCCTAAGGAAAGCATCAAAAGGAAGAAGCAAATCCATTTCACTTACATTCCTGCTGGGCACGTTTCACACTGGCTTTTACCAGCCTGGTCCTGATATTTTCCAGAGGGACAGGGTATGGGCTCTGGGCTGCCAGTGGGGCAATAGTGACCCACAGGGCACAAATAGTCTAGGAGCAAAAAAAGAAATACTTTTCTAATATCGCTGCTCTGCTTACGTCCTGAACAGCTGTACAGTGCCACTAGAGGAAGCATCACCATAAATCTAAAACTGGAAGATTTAATAAGATAAAAGCTTTACTAAAAGAACAAAAAAACCCCTGGTTTTGTTAAAAGCACTGCTAAACACAGATTTGAGCAGCGGAGGCCCACACGCTGCACTCTCAACACCAACACCACGTATCACTGAACTAGGCTTTTAACTGAACAGCCATGCAGGTGTGTTGCTCTTAACAACTTTCAGAAAGCTGACAGGGCTGCAGCCTTTCTGTGCTGTTGCATGGTTCACTAGCTTCCTTTTCACAGAGCCACCTGTATGTTTCTAATATGCCAGGATTTCATTTACGCTTATCCCTACATCACCCTTATGCAAGGGAAAATAGACAATTGAGTATAACCTCTCTCACTAGTTCTTTCTAACAAAGGCAAATGTATCACCAGGAATGGACTCCTTTTGGTACTTTTTCTTCAGCTTTCTTTTGCCTTGGTAAGATCTCCTATTTTTTCTCCTATATTTACACATAATTACCCACTACTTAAAACCTGTGTTACCTGAAATAATTTTTGGAAAACACTTTTTAATCCAGCCATTTCTAAACTTAAATTGAAACAGTAAGTAAAGTCAGATTTTAAATTCATCTTGCCACTGAAACTCCTGTAATTAAAAAATGACCCCAAAGATTTCCTACCTGAATGCTGGCCTGACACAGAGCCCGCTGGGCAAAACCATCCTTCTTTACACAAGCCCTCTGGGGAGCTCTGAGCATGCTGAGAACAGAACCACCCTGGGAAGCAGGCCTGGCAATCCTGTGCTGACTGGCCACCACGATGAGCCAAAAAGGAGCCTGAAAATACAAAACCACAGAAAGCACATTCTCACATCACCCTAAACCTTGCTGGAAGTGACTGTGGATAGAAGCACAAGCTGCTGCTCACACATTAACTTTCTAGCTGCGCTAGCCCTGGCTACTTCTGCAAGAAGATGCCAAAAGGATGCTGGCTGGAAGGAATTCAAAGGGAGCAGAGTCCCCAGCGCTCCCTTAGGAGGGTAGACGACAGCCTTCCTAGAAGAAGAGTCTGTGAGAGGTTGGTCCCGAGTGCTGGCTGAGGTGAATTCCTATTTATTTCTGGTCTGGACTGAGCAGTGCAATCACTTGCTTAATGTAACCTTAGATTTAACCCAGGAAAGAAACAAACATTCCATAGTCTTTCTAATTCCACTTAATCCTTTGCCTCATTAACGGTGATGTTAAAGGACAGCCCTGTGCAGGAAGGGTGGCAGAGGCTCTTACATATGCCTGGCTGTGTGACGTCTCCTTCAAGAGGGCTCAGTGAAGAGCATCCCCCAGCAGCTGCACAGCAGCGTGTAGGCCACAGACTGAGGCTCCAGGGGAAGTTTTGCAATCACTGTCTGAATGCACATTTAGGATTGATGTTTCCAGTACAACAACACTGGATTAGAGGCTAAGCTTTCGTGTGGACAGCAGCTGGAACATAAAGGCATGCTTCAGCACAAAGTAACAATGGCACAGACTCAGACAAGCTCAGCAGCTCCCAGGGCACTGGGCAGAGAAATGATGGCATGCAGCAACTGCCATCAAACCCACCTGGGGGACACGGAGATGGAGAAGTACTCCCTGCAGGACAAAAGTGGCCTGGAGGACAAATGTTCCCCGCTGCTCCATCCATGGGGTTTGGGAGTGTGGAGCCCCCGGTGCAGTAGAAGCCAGCCTCACAAGGACCAGATGGAGCTGCCAGCTCTGTGGCTGCACAGTAAAAACCTGACGCAGGGGGCAGAGGCAAGGCTGTCATTTACAAGACACCAAAACCAGTCATAGCACAAGACGGGGATTGCCTACTGATCTTGGCAAAAGGGAAGCGTACATATGTACAAAAAACCCCAACCCGACAAACTTGTGCAGGAGGAAAGATTCTTCTCCTACCTGGAGTGCAGGGAAGAGGAAAAAATGAACCAGCAGGACAAAAGGTTCCTGCTTGGCACAACCCAACAGATCCAGAAGCTGGAGCTGCCATGCCTGCTAAAAGACACAGACTGAGGTGAAACATAAGAATTGCAAACACTCTATTTTATCTAAAGAGCTCAGGAAGAACAGAACTAGAACACTGAATTAAAGAAAGCAAAAAGTGAAAGTAAGCCATCCTGAACCTGGCTGGGTCCTTTGGGTGACTCTGTAATACCACCTCATCAATAATAATCATCATCACACGTTATTTTCCCCCTTTGTACCAGAGTAGTTTCCAGGAAACACGGGTTTGCTTGACGTGGATCCGGGTGGACAAAACCATCCAGGCATGCACAGTCCATCTGGTCTTGCTAAGCCTGGCTTGGAACAGACCCTTCCAGGGGGACACAGCTGGCACTTGGAAGCATCACAGATATTTAAAGCTTCGCTGTAGGTTCCAGGGGGACAAGGATACTGTGTAGCAAATTCTGTATTCCTGGGGCAATAGTGACCTAGGAAAGAAAAGACGGGTTTCATAAAGGTTAACTCATGCTCCTGGTAACAATCTAGGAAGAGTCCCCAGCCTGTACAGATAGCATTGTCTTCATCTCTTTCCGTGAAGGATCGAGCCCATACTACAATGGTGGGCCCATCTTGCAATTTATCACTACCCTGCGATAGCTACGTCACATAGGCTGCATAAAATGAAGCTGGTCAGGATCGAGGATTAACAATAGTTTTAATAGCATGTAGTTTTTTTTAATGAAAAGATCTCAAAGTGTGTGATAAAGGTCAAAGCCATTTGCTCCGTTTACCATTTTCCACATTCAGACAGGAACTGAATCCCAAAGAGCTTAAACACTTTGACCAAGGCCATTGATCCGTCCAGTGCAAGAGATTTGCACCTCATGCAACCCAGTCCAATGACAAATGTAGTCCAAAGAGCTGTAGGGGCATCTGCTAATCCCTTACACAAAATTTCCCAGAATCAGTGGGCAGGTGCAATTGGACCCACCTGCAGGGCAATCGGTGTAGTTTGTGGAAGCAGCTGTGCAGTAGAAGCCTTCTGGGCACTCCAAGCACTGTGCCATATTCCAAGATGGGCTGTAACTCCCTGCAGGGCACGGCTGGGCTCTGCTGCTTCCCACCACACAGTAATGTCCAGGTGGACACGGTCCTCCACTGACTGTTGTCTTTGAAGAAAAACACCAGAGTTACAGTCTACAAACTTAGAGGGTGGCCTTGCAAAAATCTGTGTCAGATTCTAACGATGAAGTGAATTAGACATGTAGCATGAAATGCTGTGCTCATCCCTCAGTCTTTAAGGCAGCACGCCCATCCTTTTCCAAAGTAAGGGATCAGAATTCTGCCCATAACAAGTCTCACTGGAAGATGGCACCACCCTTTCTTCATTCGTAGTCCATAGAGAGCTGTGGCATAAAACCAGTGCCTTGTTATCATCTTCAGAAATTCTTAATGTATCTTGCCTAGGAGGAGGGTTGACAAATGCAGTATTCTAATCAAACTCATGCACTCCTAACCTCTAATTTTAATCTGATATGGCATTCCACTCTGTTTTGTAGCATCAATATGCAAAGAAAGAACTATTTTTGGACAGCTTTTAGATGTAAAAGCTGAAAGAAGGCCAGGTGTATTTTGCTATCTCTAGCCCCTTTCACTATCAATAAACCAGATGTACCTAATACAGAAGATATCATAGTAAGGGAGAGTTTGGTCTGGTGCAGAAGAGCAAAGGTGACCTTATGTCAGGTATGACATTCTACACTATTTACACCACAAGCACAGTTTACCCTGGGAGGTTTAGGAGAAATGGTTCCTCCACTACAGTAGAATCCAGCCTCACATAATCCAGTTGGAGACAAAAGCCCAGTCCCATTGCAGAAATAGCCTGAAATTGAGAGGGACCACAAAAGGACCACAATGATATTGGTCACACAAGACAAACAACAACAAATACATAAAGAGGAAATAGTTACTGAAGCATCATGTTTGATGTCACCTACATCTATTGTCCTGCAGATGCTTTTACTGAGAAGAGCTGCAAGTAGAGCTTACATACAAGGAGTGCCATTTGTTCAGGCGTCATCTCTAAGTGTGAAAGCATCTAGAGAAAGGGTGAAAAGGGCTGCTCACAGCACAGAAGCTCGCACCTCACTGTGAGTATCCTCTTGTGTGGAAAAGTAGCAGATTTAGTCTTTCTATGCTCTACTTAACATCTCTCTTCAAGAAAGCATCAGTTCATGATTGCCTGCTCTAGAACAAGAGTTTCTCAGGAGCCCTAAAAATGCTGGTGTCTGGCTAGAACCTTGTTAATCCTTTCTTTCAGTACCGTACCTGCATCACATAGGAGACAGTCCTCAATCCCAGTATTCCCAGTTGAGTTGCTGTAGTAACCAGGAGGACACAGCTGTGGAAAGGCAGAGCCCATAGGACAGTAAGTTCCCTTCGGGCATGTGTTCCCCAGAAGACCATCTGTAGGTGTTGGAGTAGAAACACCTCTGCTGCAGTAAAACCCGGGTAAACAGGGTCCTGTAACATGTGACTGCCCCGCAAGTGCACAGTAGTGCCCTGAGGAAGCAATGCAATGCTGTTAGCACCAGCAGAATAAAAACAGAAAGATACTTCAGAGGACAAGCCACATTCGTACGCAATTCATCCACTGAACCACTGAAGCTCAAGGACAGTCAACATATATTTTCATACATTCTCCTGTCACCATCCTGAGATATGCTTATCTGCTGTTTACCTGGGTCACAGGGGGTGCACTGAGACATCAGGCTGCTTCCAGTCTGTGGGTTGTAAGTGCCCCTAGGACATGGGAACTGAGTTGCAGAAGAAGTACCGGTAGGGCAATAGTGGCCAGCTGAACATTCATTCCCCAGAAAGGAAGAAGAATTTTTGGGGCAGAAGAACCTGGTCCAAAGAGAGATTCAAAAAAAGGGAAGGAGAAAATTTTTTTCTAGCAATATTCTATCCATAAGTATCTGAATAATAACCTAATGAGGGAACTAGCTAGTCTAATGTGGCTGCTGTACTGTGCTGTATTGACCACAAAAGAGATCTACATATACATATTACTGCATTTTAGTTGTTTCTTCATATGCCAAATTGATGGCATAATTGCAAAAGCCACAGAGACATAATTTTCTTAACTTGAGTCATAACACATCCAGGTTGTGATTCATCAACTTGTAAAAGTTAATCAAGGTCAAATCCAGTCAGTAATTGGAGATGAATCCCCCAAGGAAAAGCCAGACTCAGCATCAGGTGATATATAAAAGATCCTCTTCCTCTCCAACAGACTTCTGCCAACCTGTTACCAAGGGAACCATCTATTAATTCAGACACGAAAAAGGTTTATGGTGCCAATGGTTTCCTTGTTCTGAATAGCCTTCTGATCTAAATTCTCTTCCAGTGTAGTTGTATCTGGGCTTAGGACTTTGCCTGGTCCCATAAATCAACTATACAGTGTTACTAAACAGACTTCAATAGTTGCTCCTCTTCCTCACAGAGACAAGTGCTTTTCAGTGGTAAAAGAAGTCATTTTCCCACTGCACACTGCTATCTGATGACTGTATAAACAATTATTTCCAACAGTCTCGTACTCATACACACAACGTTAAGCTCACTGTCTCCCCCTTACCCTGTAGGACAGGGCAGGCAGCTGGCTTGCCTTTGTGAAGGGTTATAGGACCCTGCCGGACAAGCAATTGGAAGAGCTGTGCCCTTGGGACAGAAATACCCTGGAAAAGAAAGAACAGATCAGAATCGGCAGTCTGAAAATCAAAAGCAAGCCAGGCATTTAACTGGGCCCCTAACTCACCCAGGGGACATGGCTGTGGCTTCTCGCCAGGGACACAGTAGTCACCCTCTGGGCAAGCCTGGCACTTCTCTCCACGGATGTGTGGTGTGTAGGAGCCAGGGGGGCACAGTGCTGGGCTCCTGGATCCAGGTGGACAGAAGTGACCGAGTGGACAGGGAGCTCCTGACAGGCCATCAGTGGGTGTTGGGATCTGGGCCCTAGTGACACAGTAGTACCTGCAGCCGTGAAC